GGAACTGGAGGGTATTATGCTGAGTGAAATAAGTCAATCAGAGAAAGACATGTATCATATGATCTCACTGATATGAGGAATTCTTAATCTCAGGAACAAACTGAGGGTTGCTGGAGTGGTGGGGGGTGGGAGGGATGGGGTATACCTCATTAATGGGTACAGAGTTTCTGTTTGGGATTGCAAGCAAGTTCTGGAGACGGAGAGTGGTGATGACTGTCTAACATTGTAAAGGTAATTAGGGCCACTGAATTGCATGCTTAAAAGTGGTTACAATGGTAACTTGCACGTGATATATATTTGACTACAATAAATTCTTTTTTAAATAGCACAAAGGGTTTCCAAGGCAGAAAGAGGATTCATCATTACCTGGTTGTCACTCTCCACCTCATCCTCCTCGTTGGTCTCCTCCCCTAAAGCCAAGAGGCTGAGAGCATTCTTGTCCTCATGGATGGAGCCCAAGAGACCCTTTGTATAAGCAGAAGTCTTGAGACCCTGTGAAGGCTCCAAAGCAGAGAAGGAAAGTCAAGGGGCGTGCTAAGGACCTGCAGAATGCTCTCCCCACTCTCTTTGTATGTCTCCCAGCACAAGTCGGCCAAGCCCAGGAAGCTGACCCCAGCAACCCCAGCTCACATGGATCCCTTCCTGACTCTGACTGCCCCAGCTGTAAGAACTGGGAAATGAGCACTGCAATCCCTCCCCCTCCCCCCCGCCCCGGTGGGTCTATCCTCTGCAGCCCAGAGTCCACGTCTAGCATCACACAAGTGTGATTTGCCTTCCCAGCTTCCCAATTTGCCCATGAACTCTTGAGGACTCGGCCCATGCCCTCTCTTTCTTATCTATGCGCCACCGTTCCTAGCATGGCGCACAAAGACCCCAGGGTCACTAAATACACTGAATGCGAGAGAAATCATTTACCAGCATGAGTTCTCCAAGCGGACCAGACTCCACTGAGCTCCCTAGGCCCACACTTTGCGATCCACGAAGAGCGGAGGCCGGGGCATCCACAAGGCCTCTCAAGGGAGCCAGGCCCCCAGGAGGGACATGGACTGGGGCTAATGAGGAGCCGAGGGCCTGGACAACACAAAACATCTTGTTACAAACCCAAGAAACCACATGGCTCTCAGAGTGCCAGAGACAGATATAAAAATAAAACATCTAAATCCTGCCCGCTCAAATTTAAACCACCTCCGTTCAGAGACTGTTAATGAAACACAACATCCAGAAATTACCATTGTGCCAACTGTGTGATAAATCACAGGCTGGCTTGCTGATTCTTCTAACTCCGCTGCTGGTGCACAGCGAATGGTTTGCTCACATCTGGCAGATGCCGCAGCGGGTTCTGCTCCCCTTTCAGAAGCCACATAGGAAGTGGGGGGACACGGAGGGCAGAGACAAAAGCCTCATCTACCAGAATGAGAAGTCTCAATAGAAGAAGTTTAAAACTGATGAACCAAGAAAAAGCAGTCTAAGCATATTATTTACAAATGTGGAAGTACACAGCAGAAGAAAGCAGTTGCCTCTGGGGAGGGGTACACACACCAGAGAACTGTATTTCGTTATACGCCTTTTGGTACTATTTGACTTTGTTCAATATGGGCATGTATTACTTTAATTAAAATACATACCAACTACGGAAAAAATACATGGGGGCGCCCGGGTGGCTCAGTTAGTTAAGCATCTGCCTTCGGCTCAGGTCATGATCTCGGGGTCCTGGGATCAAGCTCTGCATTGGGGTTCGGGCTCAGTGGGGAATCTGTTTCTCCCTCTCCGTCGGCCCCTCTCCACTGCTCATGCTCTCTCTCTCCCTCTTTCCTCTCTCAAATAAATAAATAAAATCTTTTAAAAAAATATACATGAATGACGAAAGAACTCTCCTTCCCCTCTTCCACTGACAAGGAAGGTAGCTGAATGAAGCCTTGCTCAAAGGACTGACCAGTTTCCCTATTCTCACGCCAGCCAGATGAAGGCTTCTGGCTAGGGAGGATGGGAAAAACCACCTGGGAGTCAGAGTTTGCAAGACCTCAGCTCATTCACAGAATCCTGTACTCAGTTTACTCGTCTGCAAGACAGAGATGATGGGTGTCTTACCACTTAAGGTCTGTTGGGAAGTTCAAAAGAGACAATGAACGTGAGGAGCACGTGGGAGTGGTTCAGGGCTACCCAACGTGGAATGGCCATTAGAGGGATTCACATTCCTATAGATCGGGCTGAGCAGCAGGGGCAAGGAGAGCATTCTGGGGACAATTTACAAAAAGCTCTTTAAAATTCATTGCTCAAACTTAAAATGTATAAAACAACACAAAACCACTCCTCTCTAATCCCAAGGGGACTGAAGAGAGAAAGGGGAACCCAGAGGAGGTCAGGCTGAGAACGTGCAGGCGGCCCATCATCTCCTCTACAACCTGGGCTGAAGGGCCCAGACCATTGGGCAGGTTCTGACCAGGGCCCCTTCCTGTGTGGGAAGGGCAGCAGATGCTCACCTGAAAGAGGGATAAGAACCACTCCCGAGCTTTTAAACTCCCAAATCACTGCCTAACCATCTGGCCTGCTGTAGAGTACTTCCGGTGGGCAGAAACAATCAGACTGGCCCACATAACCCAGCATCAGGTGCTAGGCTCAGCCCTTACATGCCATCTCTCCTGTTCTCACGACAACCCGGGCCAGAGTCCCTACAAATGGAGATGGTGGAGATGAAGACCTCTACTCACAGTCACAGGGTCATCTGGGGGGCTGGGGGGGGGTGGCGGGGAGCACAAACACGGGACTGGACCCAGGGCAATCTCCAAACCAGTACTTTACACCACCTCTTGGTTGTGGCCAAAAAGGAGCCCAGGAAAGCTTCTCTGAGGTCAACTGGGAGCAAATGGGTCTGCTCCTCTTGACTTCAGCCCTCCCAACCAGCCCCAGTCTATCAGCAACCAAAATTCCTCCCACACTATTTACAGAAAAGTACGGACTCCTCACATGGCTAATTTGCGGGCGTGCCGGGGGCTTGAGGGAGGGAGACAGGCATGCTGAGAGCTCCGTTCTCCCAGGCCTTTACCAAATCAGTGGTTGGCAGGGAAATGACACATCCCTGGCTCCTAGCTGGTCATCTTCTAGAGCTGGCCATTAACTCTATGGGCTGTGCATGGTCTTGTCCTTCAGGGGGGATAAACTTGCTGCCATTGGACTAATTAAAACTTTCAGGATCATCTGCCCCTTATCTGGTATTTATCGTGCTACAGTAGTTATTAAAGCTAACAGAGAACCAGGACACTCCAGCAATTAGAAACCAGAGGGAACAACTGGGTAAAGCCACAACTGGGTGACAGCAGAATAGCTGGGGAAATTCAGATTGACCCCCGTGGTCTCTGCTCCAACTTGACTTCTTCTGAATGAAGAATATGGTGTGACTCGTTAAAGGGACAAAGGGTCAGAATGACAGGGAAAGCACAATCCAATGTCAAATCCCCGCAGTGGAGGAAGTAAAGGTACAAACAAGGTCTGAACAAGCCTGACGCAGGGTAGTCACGTGGTTCCTGGGACCCCCTGGGAAGCAAGGAGCAGAAGCAGCTCACTGGATGGTAGAGAGATTCTGGGCTCCAGCACCCTGCCCCCCACCCCCTGCCATGACTGTATTAACTTTCCAGTTCTATGTGATTCCAAGAAGGGACTAAATTGAGAGCTTGTAGGGAGGGTGTCTACTTGGGAAGCCTCTGTCCATAATCAGCTAATGGGAAAGGCTTCCCAAATCCTGGGAAGGTACCAAATCCTGCCTGAGTGCCAGGATCGGCGCCACCTTGCTCACCTTCAAAACTGATCATCTGCCAAGCCTGTGACCCACCCGTGAACTAAGTCAGCTCCAGGGAAGGGAAGGCTAGATCCCCTCAGCCACTGTCCAGCAGGTGACGGGTACAAGAAACACGAAATATACGTCAGCCCACAAGATGGCCAGCCTGGGTAGTTAAGGGATCAGTAGTTACCAGGGGAGAGCAAACAATAGGAAAGCAGGCCTGATGGCTGAGTAAAGACGTCAGCTCAACCTGCTCCCTCCCTGCCAAGTTCACGGAGGCCCACAGGCCATACTTGCTAGGAAGCCTACCTGGTTGAGAAGCTGCATCTTGCCTGGCTCTGCAGCAAGCCCTCTGCTGGAACTCAGCTCGATTAGCCCCTGCCTGAGGGGGCTGCTGCTTGGCTGGAAACAGGCTTGCTGAGAGACCTCCTGCCCAGCAGGGGCAAGAGCCACCTCCTGAGGATGCTCCAGCATCTCTGGCCCCCAAGCCAGAAACCTTGAGTCCCTCTCCATGGCTCTGACGGCCTCGTGCTCACCCTCACTAGACATCCTGGAAGACTCGGCCGCCACGCAACAGACCATGCTGGCGATACCTTTACATGGCGTCTCCTGCATGCTCTCAGGCAGACCCAGGACCTCCAGCCGCCTGGAGATCTTGACCATCTGCAGGATGTGCTGGTAGAATCTCTGATCTTCAGAGTAGTCTTCACTCTCTGACTGCTCATCGGCAGAGCTCTGCATGTGGGACAACTGGAGCCCCAGGAAGGGGCTGGAGTGCTGCTCTCTGGCTCTGGGACCTGACTGACCCCCCACACCCTGCTCAGACCCCGGAGAGCTCTGCAGGTCCCAAGGGAAGTGGTTCACCTCACCCAGGATCTGAGAGCCAAGGCAAGAAGCTAGGCTGCTGCTTTCCAAGTCAGGCTCAGACCCACTAGGCCTCCTGTCTTCTTCGGAGGGCTCTAGAGACCCGGGGGGTTGTCTCTCCTCACCGGCAGGGGAGCGTCCAGGGGCACTCCCTGAAGGGCCATTCTGGGCCAGCTCTGACGCCAGAGGATCAGGCGGCATTAGGAAGAGCTCCTGAGGCGGGTCTTTAGCTGTGGCCCCTGGAATCTCGGGGTCATCGGGTCCTGCCTCCTGGCAGCTCCTGGGGGTGTCCTTGTTGACAAGCTTGGAGACCTGTCTCATCCACAGTCCCGGGGGCTCTTTCCTCCTCTTCCCCTTGCCCACGCTCCCACCTTCCCCAGGCATGCCCTGTCGGCTCAGGCCGTCGGCTGGGCCGCTATCTAACAAGAGCAGCCGGCTCTTCCTGGTAGGCGGCATGTGGTCAGAGGAACACAGGGACCGGGAACGGTCCTCCTCAGGGGACGGTGAGGGAATGGGGCTCTGGCTCTTGTCTCCCCTGGGGCCAGTGGAGCCCCGTTTGGAGATGTGGTGGTCATGCTGCTCCCCTTTTAGCTGTAGGCCGGTGATGGTTTCAGAAAGCTTTGAGTGGACAGAGGCCTGGCTCCTGCCTTCCAGCACATCCTGTCCATTCTGGAGGGGCCTGGTGTTCTCAGGGCCCAGAGCGCTAAGCTTCTGCTGTCTGGTCCTCAGTTCCAGCTCTTCTATTTCAGGGTCTGAAAACCCCAGATAGATTTTCTCTGTCGGCTTCTGGGGTTTCCCCAGACCCTGCTGATCACCCAATTCTGTCCTGCACTGGGCTGGGGCCCTGCCTAAGATTTTCTCCACGTCAGCAAAGATCTGGTGGTTGCGAGAAGCTTGGCCTTTGGAGAGTGGCTGTAGCTTGCTGGGCAGGGTGCCCAGGAGAGGCCAGGGGGTGTCACCCAGCATGCAGGGGCTCCTCCCTTTCTTAAAGGAGCCCTCACTTCTAGCCTGCATCTCTTGGTCTGGGTCCAGATCAGCAAGCCCAGGTGCTGGGAGAGGGGATGGGTCACGGAGAAGGGAGGAAGAAGGCAGAAGTCCCTGCTCGGGCTGTGTTTCCTAGATGGGTACATAAACATGCAGAGAAAACGAAGACAAAGCACTTCTGATTTATACTTGCTACCTCAGCCCTTGGCAAGCCCTTAGCAGAAACCCACCCTCCATTTAAAGGAAAACACAAACCAAGAGGGGGAAAAAAAAAAAAAGCTAAAAACTCCCTTAGGCTTCATTGTTTTCTGGGCCCTAGTTTCCCTATCTATAAAGCAGAGGCTAGACTAGATCAATGGTTTACCCCCCTGCTTCAAGGAACCTGCCGGTTGGTTCCACAGGATACCCCAGAGGCCACTGTAGCATACAGGTAATGGGGAAGGGGCGTCACCAGGACCTACTCCCCAAGGTTCACTTTTTCTTGATATGCTGGACCTCCATGGAGGAATTGACTGGAAGACAGGGCTTCACCAATCACAAAGGTCTGAATCACCAACCAGATTATCCCTAAGGTATCATCAGGCTCTCAGTTCTGTGACTGGTGAATTTCATAAAATCCACCTGCCTTACCAAAGACCACCAGAAATTGTCTAAGAAGGGAGAGAAGGGAAACATGGCCAGTGAGCTGAGCCCTGGGAATTCCATCTAGGTCTTCCAGCAGAGACGCGAGTTGGTACTGCTCAAGAGAGGTCCACACCAGTCAGAGAATCTTGGGTCTCAAAGAAACCCTAAAAGATAGACCTCATCCTGCAAACATTCACACTAAGCTCCAGCTGGCCTATGCATGCACACCACCAGAGAGCCCAAGCCACATGAGCCCAGGTCACCCACCTGGCTCAGGTCTGCCCTCTGGAAAAACCCAGGTCTGAGGCACTGTCCTGAGCCCTGAGATCCAGACTGGCAGCCCAGGGCTATCCAATCATCCTCAGCTCCTGAAACCACAAAGGAATCCTTTTTAACGGGGAGCTCCAAGCACTTGCTCACACACCCAGAACTCTGTCACCCAACCCTCTACCCCAGAACCCTCGCCTCGTTCCCTCTCTCACCTAGTCATGCCAGAGTCTACCCAGACTGATCATCATTTAAAGTGGTCCTGTGCTAATGAAAAGCCCATTATCCATCTTTGGCCTTTCAAACACGTAACATCAGAAAATTCAACCAATTTGGAAATTACCCGTCCTCTTTTCTCTCTCTGGAGGGATGGGCTTGTTATCTTATTTCTTGGGATCGTGAGTAGCAATACACGGTGGGGGAGGGGGGTGCACAGGGAGGAAGGAGGGAAGAGTATCTGTAGAACTTGGAAATGCTGAAAAAGACCAATTCACCAGCAACCATCCAATGGCAGAACTGATGCCTTGGGGAAGGAAGGAAGATGGACGAAACCTTCACTGAGAAGCAAGCACTAAGCATGGCGGGAAACAGACTACAGACAGCAAGCAAATCAACTGGACAAATGAGAGGGTTGAAAAGATATTCTCAATGCTCCCCACCTGGCTGGCCTGGGTTCCTATGGGGCCTCCTTCTCCTCAACGTGCCCCGCCTGCCCCACGCCTGCCCCCCATCTGGGTGAAGAATCCCTGGGCCTCACATCAGGATGGCTCCAAGTCTTTGCTTCTCTACCTATAAATTCAGGGCCATAACTCTGTCTCTGAAGTTCAGACACACTGGAGGGACAAATAAAACAATAAGCGCTTTCAACTCCAAGTAAAAAAAGCTACTCGAGACCAAGGTAATCATGCTGCCGTCAAATTTCAATTATGCACCACTAACCGAGGACACCGGCAAAAAAGACAATCCACAGGAGCAGATAAAGCCCAGAGCTTTTCTCGTTGAATTTGGAAGGCACTGGCGTTCTGACAACTGAATTAGGGCTACATCTGACATCTAGGAATTTGCACCACACTGGGAAGGCCTGGCTCTGAAAGGAGAGGGAAGACACTCCACTCATCTGAGTTCTCCGTCAAGTGCCCCTGGCCCCCCACTCTCCAGAGGGGCGGATGACCCCACTTCCTGGACTGCTGCAAAGCACCATGCTCAGCAGACTGCTCTCGCTCACTAATCCTACTACGTAGCATGTGCTTCCCAAGGGGGATAAAAGGAATTGTTTAGAGGCAGTAAGAATTTCTAGAAGCTAAAAGGAAAATTTGCCAGAGACAGGCAGAATGAAGGTGATGTACTATGAAGAAATCACTGGTGCTGTTCTTAACTTCCCAGCTGGAAACACCTAGAGGCTTCGAACATCCCCTGAGGTCTCAGCCCTGGCCTCTCTGGGAGCTGGCAGCCACGAACTCACCAGCAGACTTTTGGGGGTCTCTTTGTCCTTCTTGTCTTTCTTTTCCTTTTTCTTTTTCTTGTCTTTCTTCTTAATGGTTCCAGGAGCTGACAGCTTCCCCCGCTCTTGGATCACCAAGTTCCGATAGTGCTCATCACATGGATGGTCCCACATGGACTGACCGTTGGCAAAGTTGAAATAGTAAATATCACCTGTGATGTCCTGGCTGTGGAGAGCAGAGGTCAGGAGTTAGTCCCTGCTCAGGCCCACAGCTACTTAGGGGAAAAAAGAAAGATGGAGAAGAAAGACGGCATGAGAGGGGCAGGAGAGAGAAGAGGGGAGGACAGGAGGACACGGGGAGGATTAACACAGAATGGAAGGGTACCGTGTGGCTAAGACAGGAGCTAACTTAGATAGGAACAAAGGATTGGGATACCTAAGGACTTCTCTAGAAGAAGACGTATAATCATTGGGGTTCCTGGGAATTCATGCTAGACTGGAGTAGGAATAAATTTGGTTTTAGATGCATAAGTACAGATGCCATGGGATCTTGGAGATATATTCTAGGCTTGAACTTGCTTAATATTTTTATAAATGGTGTAAGGAAGAAGAGGCATTGTGAAAACCCTGGTTTTGCAGAAGACCCTGAACTCACAAGAGGTGACAATCCAAGCCAGTGGGGATCAACAACAGAAGAAAATAACGTAGGGGCGCCTGGGTGGCACAGTCGGTTGAGCATCCAACTCTTGACTTCGGCTCAAGTCATGATCTCAGGGTCATGGAGACTGCTTAAGATTCTCTCTCTCCCTCT